TATATATATATATATATATATATATATATATATATATATATATAATTATTATTATTATTATTAACCTAAACACAAATAAAACTAATAATCTTACCTATAGTTTTAATTAAATTGACAAGAAAAAATTGCAGAAAAATATAAACTTATGAAATACTTGAAACAAGTAACATTTACTTGAATGCAATATATATTATTTGTGAACAGCAATAATATCAAATGTGGTCGTTGATAGTATATACCGTTCACTCGAACAACTTCGGAATCGGCGGCGTACAAGGCGCGAGGTCTGCTCTTGCTGCGTGCTCTTCTTTGACGACCGACCTCTTCGACGACAGTGGATGGACCACGCGACCGTGATCTTCGCGCTGGAGACGTAATGGCACCGGCCAGGACCGACCCAGTGCCGAGGTAAAATGTGTCTACGTCGGCGAATTCGTTTCTCAGCTGTGAGAAGCTCCTCACCTGATAGCAAATTGTGAAAAGTGTCTTTCATACTTGATCAATACAAGCAAGGTGCCATTATAGCACTGAGCTCGTCTGCTTCACAGGACTGTAAAATATTCGATCAACCGCGAGAAAAAGAAAAGAAAATGGTATTCCGAGAGCTGGTGCCAATTTGACTCCGTCTTCTTCCCCCTCCTCTCTAACGTCAAACGATTTACCCGTTCATGCAATCGTCTATCTGTGTGTTACGTGAGTTACCGGCTTACGTCAAACAGAATGCAAAAGCACAGATGCTTGTGATGTAACACAGAGAGTAAGAGGGGTCGATGATGTGCCTCGCTAAAGAAAATTGGCGAGACATTTGAAATTCATATACGATCGTGACCTGGAAAAGATGGATCTCTGACCTTTTTATACACGTGGGGCCACGTCCGTCCCACTTACCCACACTCATTCGTTCTTAAGAGAGATGTATAATCATGTAATTTATTACATTGTCAAAAATATCAGTACAACGCGTCACGCTCTACGTCACTTCCTTCAATTCCAATCGTAACGTACAGATTTAATTAGTGTATCGTGGTGTACTCACATAGAATAAAAGAACATTCTTGTTTGGAAAATATCCTTTTTTTTATGTTTTAGTCTTCACAAATGAAATTACGTAACGTTAAATGAAGATAAGTTACTTAAGAATATATTTTATATCATTCAATGCGAAGAGAAACCTGTGTTCTTATTATTCAAAAATAATTTTCACTAATAAAAAGCATAAAAAATACTGAATTGAGAATATGATGTTTTTAAATATATGTTATACTTAAAGTTCCTCTATCCACTTAAAAGTAATATACTCAAATTATCAAGCAATGTTTGATATATAAAATAATCATTGTTCCAAGCAATGATATATAATTGTGTTACAAAAATTTTAAAGCCTTGAATTTCAATAATATTATAATTTTATTTGAATATTATAATAGTTTTATAAGAAGTACAATATGCCCAGCAAACACAATATTACATGTAACGTACATGTTAGTTAAAATTTTCTACTCAACAATGTAACTGTTATATAATACACGTGTTATATAATACACGTATTATATAACAGTTACATTATTAAATAGAAAATTTTAACTAACATGTATATTATATGTAATATTGTGTTTGCTGGGTAATTATTTTGATGATAATGATATCTTCTTTCGACATTTAAAAACATCATATTCCAATATTTTGTACTTTCCACTAATTAACATTATGTTTTAATAATAAGAAAAAGTTTTTCTTTGTTGAGAGAGTCATATAAAATATATTCTTGCAAATAATTTATCTTTATTTAATGCTATGTAATCTTATTTAACGATTAACATATCAAAAATAAAGATATGTTCCAAGCAAGAATGTTCTTTTTTCTGTGTATAGAATAAATGTCTCTTGTCATATCAGCGATCTCATTAGCGCGATCTCTATACGCGAAACGCGAACACAACAAACACCTCTCGACTTATGGGACGTACAGGCAATAAGTTTATTTCGCGGAGTCTCGAGGGCCGACCCCGTTACCGTCACGCTTCTCTCGTCCTCGCTACCCCGTTGCGGCATACATATTTATAGACCAACGTCGGTCGAGTCGATTTTGCGAGTATGATGCCGATACTTTGGATTTACATATGTTCCCTTCTTTTTCTCTTTCTTTTAACAGACCTTTACAAATCACGCATTCACCCCTGAATACATAAACACAAAAGCACGCCGAAAACAAATTATATTACGTTGTGTAAATTCGGCATATTGTAATCCAATTGCGTGGATGAACTGTTTTAATAAATAATATCTTTAAGAAATACATACAACGTGAAACTTATGAAGTAACTATCACCCCCGGATATACAAATATAAAAGTACGTCGAAAACAAATTATATTACGTTTGTGTAAATCAAAATTCATATTATAATCCAATTGCGTGGATGAACTGTTTTAACCTTTAGACTGCCAGGAAAGCCACTTTTGTGGCTTTGCATAAATCTCAAAATTCTACGCCACATGTATATTACTTATATAGAAAAATTTTTGAGAAAAAGAAACTACTTTTTTAATAAAAAAATGCCGGCAGCCTAAAGGTTAATAAATAATAGTTTTAATAAATACATCTTCCTTTTAAATTTAACTCGTCCAACGTGAAACTTATGAAATAACTATCATGTATAATGCGTTTAAATAACTGACCTCTTGCCCTGAAACGGTGAACATCCTCTTAGCTCCGTTCATCTTCAGCACTTGCCCAAGGTCCTCGAGGACTTCCTCGAAGGGTTGTGACGTGCGAAGATTTAACAGAACCCGGCACTGATAAGTTAAATTTGTCGAATTTGTAACAAGCATCCTTTATAATTCCCAAAAAATTATCGTATTAACGATTGTAAAAATCTTAAAAGCAGCATTTCATCATTCAAAATTTGGGGGTGAAAATTCTGATACAAAATGTCGTTGACATAGTTCTACTCAAAATGCCGTATATCACACGTCCCAAATGCACAAGGATTCTATATTTAGCGGACGACCTCTCGTACCTGCACGGTGTGGTCGTGGTTGTTGACAATGCGGATGACACGGCCCGATGAGGGTTTTCCACCCCCGCCTGGGGGCGGTGCCTCGTCACTGATGGAAGCCTTCCTACTGAGACTCGCTACTGCTGGTGGTCTACTTTGCCATCCGCCAGCAGCCCCACTTCCGGTCCTTACGGCGCCGCTCCTGCTACCCCCGCCGCCCCCGGGAGCAGGATTTGTGTACCAGGTATTGTTCTTCTTCCCATAGCTGGCCGGCTATTACAAAAATTAGTCGTCATTTATCATATTCTTCTAATTTTAACTGTTTATTATGTTATCAATTTGTGTATTTTTCATGTTTTAATTAATAATTTCTTATTAATTTTTCTATTAATATTTATTAATAGAAATCTGTTAATAGAATATCTATTAGTTTAAATTATCAGTTTATTTATTAATTAGAATATCTACTAATTTTTAATAATTTATTATTAATATTATTATTATTATTATAATAATTATTTAATTATTAATTTTAATATTAAATTTATTTCAATTATATATTCTAGATTCATACCAATTATGTATTTTAGATTCTTTATTTATTTATTGACACAGAAAAAACTTTTCGTATAGATACTCTGAGAAAAAATATTTAAAAAAATATTTATTCTGTGGCTACTAATAACATATTTACTTAAATCTAGGTTTTTTTTATTTAAATGGAATAAACAATTGCTTTCATGAAAAACCGAGGTTTTAAAAGAAAATCTTATTTGAAAAATATTGTCCTCAAAATGCAAAAATATGTATATTAGTATAAGTAAATATGTTATTAGTACGCATCGAATAAATATTTCTTATTTCTTAGATACTTTTTATCTCAGTATAGGACAAAGTAATAGTAATAGTAGGTAAAAGTATAGAATATATGTTAAATAAAAAAAAAAAATTGCGAAGATACTTCTCCCCAACTTCTCCCTAATATTTTTCCCCTTTTTCCTAAATCAACGCAATTTTTTATTTTTCGTAGATCTACGTATACTAAGAAAAAAATGTTTGGTATTTGTTACTATAATTATACACAGAGAAATAATCATAGTAAATTATGGTTGAGAAAATCGTTTTTTAATTAAATTCTACTATAATGTTAATGATAATAAATTTATATACATATTACTACCATCATTTTACTATAAAAAATATGGTTGGGATAAAAAATAACTATAATTTTAATTAAATCAACTATTTGTTTCTGTCAATATAAATCCACGCGTATAAATGCTTCAAGAACCTGCATCATTTCGGCCGGCAGCGATATCACTTCGAAGGAGTCGCTCATCAACACAACAAAGCTATCCCAGTAGTCTAAATTCTGATCCCAGGACTCGGCTTCTGAATCACTAAGAGAGTCCGTATTTTCCCGCCTGGCGCCAAAATCCGGCTCCAGGTCCGACTGAGAGGACGAACTTGCCGACTCAATTGTGAAGCCCGACCGTGTCACTCTTGCGAATCCGCCGATTTCGCTTCGCGCACAGTCAACTGTCGATCGCGCGGTTTCACATGGTCTCGAAAACTTCCACTGTTTCACTTGCGTCTCGTTTCGCCTGGTGAATCGCGATTGAGAGTCTTCAATTTTCGATCGCTTCAATCCTCTTTCGATTTTTGACGCTTCAATCCTCAGACTTCAATCACAGCTCTTGTCCTTAATTCTTCTCAATCTCGGTGAACTCGGTGAATGCGATAAAATATTTTAAAATAAAATACGTCCTGAACTGCGTCAGATCGCGATTATCCTCGCGCGATTATCCTCGCGCGAGTTTCGAATCACGCGACGCGGACTGGGTACGAGAAAAAGTCGCGGGAGAGAATTCGGTCGCTCTCTCGAGTTGGTGTAACCGCGACTATGTTCAATGGACGACTAGCGGGGTTACTTGAGGCGTAGGTGGGGTGAAGTTGTATTGAGGAACCAATGCTGCAACATCCCCTACCACACCTCTCTACCTCACGAAGGGCCACCGCCGCTCAAGGACAGCTTCCCCCTGATCCGCCATCCTCTTTAACCCCCTTAACCACCACCATCCCTTCTCCGGCTGGCAATACTAATTCAGAATGCTAATTTGAGGAATAGGGAGAATCACGGCATTACCTTTCCTTCTAGCCTAATGGTTCTTAATAGATATGTTTAGTAAACCCTGTTTTATCCCCGTCAGACGCGTGTGAATCGTGCAATTGTTGTTCGATCGCGCGATCCGTAGAATGTAAGCTCTCGAAAACATACTTCGCGGGCTTTCTACAGCGTGAGGCTTACTTATAAGCGTATTTAAAAGAAAATTGATCGAGAGTGAAAAAGATGTAGGTGTACATTGAGAGCAGAAATGGTTAAGGTTACTAAAATTACAGATAATTATTTCCGACTCTAACTTATTATATCTTTTTGTTGATCTAACAAAAATGTAGTAGCAACATGCATACAAGATTATTATCACTAACATTATAATAACACGTAGTACACGCTATTGTAACTATAAAAACTATAGTAACTATAAAAATGGCTCTCTTGATTATAAATCTTTCACTATGCGATTATAGTTACATATATATAGTTATAAATATTGTTTTCTCACGAAGAATCGATACTTATCGATCTACGTGATTCAGCAGATTCGGCTTTATCGAAAACGGGCTATCATTTTGATCATTAGTCCAAGGACTGCGAGTTTCGCCGTATTTTTTTTAGCCTATTTATCCCAATAAAAACGATAGAAAAGACGAGCGTAAAAGCATCCGCGGAAATTACGGACGCCCACGCCTCCTTGATAAATCTGAAACGGGATATCTGCTGGGAAGAAGGGAAACCAGTGTTAAAGCACTTAGATTGATTGGCTTACGTCGGCCAATATTTAAAGCAGGTCTCAAAGAGAGGAAAAAAGGCTAACAGAGGCGGCTAATAGCCCAATGAATTGTGTTATGGTTTCAAGACACGCACACATGGTACCTCATTGACAAAATGTTAACCACTCGTATAAAATAATTGCTGTATCATATTTTGAATAAGGATAATTTTGGATAATTTTTCGTAAGAGTAAATTTGAAGTCAGACGCAAGTCAAACACAGATCTAAACAGAATTTCAATTAAATTTAGTTATCTAAATCTCTCTTTTGCATCTGATTTCATTTTTGTTTAGTTGAAATTTCGTCTAAAAAGCTGTCGCAGAAGGGTGTAATACGTATTTATATTTATATCGACAAGTCGTGGAGATTGTATGTCGACAAGTCGTGGAGATTGTATATCGACAAGTCGTGGAGATTCGATACAAGGTCGTAGCTCGGCATGATAATAGTGGTAGGAATGGAAAGAGAAGGGGAATTCTCACAAGGCGAAGGTCGGACCACCCCTTATTCTCTCGGACTAAACTAACCGGTGAGTCGTCCGACGTCAATGTGATACTTTAACCCCTCTCTCAGGTCGTTAGTATTTCGTTGCTACGAATTTCATTATTGTATTCGTCTCGGAACTTTTTATACACACTGTAGTGATATAAATAAATAAGTATTTACTCATAATTCATAAATGTGTTTTCATCACTTTAAATAATAAAAAGGATGTCTGTGGGGTTATAAAATATATTGGATTATTAATAATTGAATTAGTGCAGAAGCTTCTTTTTTCCAAATGACACTTTAAATTTAAATAAGAATTCAGTTTCCATAGAGCGTTCTATCTACAAAACTATTGATATCTTTTTGAAGAATTCTCTGTCATTTTTCTTCTTTTAATAAAATAAAGCGAATGAAAGACAACAATAAAGTAAAGTAATAACAGGCAAGTAGATTGATGTATAAGATATGATTAGCTTTAAAACTTTTCTGAGTCAATTAACGACAGGTTATTTACACATCGAGCGATTTTAACCGTAAACAGGTAAGATTCCCTCATAAAACTTACATCGCTTACGTCGCTTTCCTGTCTCGCGAACAGATGGCGCTTGAGTTGTGGCGAGTTACCGCTTATCAATAACTTCTTTTAAACGAGCAGCAACCGCGTTCCAATTTATAGAACGAAAGTTCATTAATTAAAGGGAAAAAACAAGAACCTTTTTTGCTCATATTCGTGAGTAAATATTAAATCTGTATATCAGCTATATATATACACATAATCTTTCTATACACATGTATGAATTTATAAAATTCACACGTGGTTGAGATTTGACTCGCCGTTATTGATTCCAGCACACCGATTAATTGTTTGTCTTCAAAAAATTTCGTCGCAGAAAAGTAAGATCTTTTGCGTATAAATTGAAACTTCCGTAATCGTTCTGTTTTTTAATTATATTATGTATTATATGAGATTGTATCGGCTTTTTCTTAAAAGATAAGATTTCGCGTTATATTTATTTTCGTCACGACTAAAATATTTCTGCGCTCATAACATGCACATGCATGTGCACAATGCACGCAACAGTCGCGTGTTATGTCGCCTGGATTAATTATAATTCCGAAAAAAAGAGTCGAAAAAAAATCTCGCGCTCCAGCGAGATAAGCAACGGGCTATAAATCTCGTCGATAAACCACGGCAATGCCTAGCCCCTCTGACGCAGAAAAGTTCTTCATAAATTCCTTCGTGAATATTAGACGAGAGTTCAATTAGGTGCGCTAGATTTTTCGAAGATTCCAAATGGAATGTTTGAGAGTTGACGACTTCTCAATGGCGGAGCGTTGACAACTTTAAACGCGTTCCTTGGAAATCTGTCGTGCGAGCAGTGCGTGTCGACTGGCAGTTCGTTCTAATTTATATCATTACATCGACACGAGTAATAAGGGTGTCGTTGCAAAGTAATTAGAAACCCCCGCGACCTAATATAACTTAACATAAGCCTGGCTCAATCGCCGATCAAGTCTCGCGATAAGATTGTCCGTATAACTGTTCCAGTTCATCTTAATTGTCAATCTCCGCCGTTATGTTTCTCGATTGCGCTTAATTGATGATAATGACATCGCAAAGTATCGGCGACCTGTACAAATAGACCAAGCACCTGTATTTTCTTTTTCTTTTATCGTGGCAAGAAAAATCACAGAACAGTGGTTCTAAACTTAATTGTTCACTTTAATCTGACATATTCTAATATCAAAAGAGAAAGAAGGAAATTGCAGAAAAAAGTTCGAACTCTAGTCGAAATTTTAGTCCTACTTTCTCTCGACCTGAATTTTCTAACATCTATATATTCTGAAGGATCAGTGTGTATACATGAAAAAATTGAAATTCTATTTAATG